ATGTGTGTGTGTGTGTGTGTGTGTGTGTGTGTGTATATGCACACACATATTATATTTAATTAATATTTTTATTTATATTGTTTAATTATAAATTATAATTATTAATGATGAATAATAATTCTTACATGTTTTGCATTATTATTAATAATTACTAATAATTATTAAAATTACAAATATATTAAATGGGATCAAAAATATATAAAAAATATACATAAATATACCTAATTAAAATTTAAATAATTGAAAGAAATCTGTATGATTAAAAACATAATTTCACACAAACACAAATATATTAAATGGCATAATGCGAAATAAAAATATATTAAAAATATTGTTTTTATAATTTAATTATACTATAATTAAAATTAGTTATATTAATTATAAATGTAAATTAATATGCATTATTTTTACTGTATATTTAATTGAGCAATTATTATTAAGAGTTTTAATTTCATTATTATTAATATATTAAGAGTCTCTGTGGGCAACAAAATATTTAAAAATTATTACATTGAAAAATGTTTTTAGAATATATTACTATAATAAATTATAATAATGGATATAATGACTTATAATGAATATTTTAATATAATTACATTGTAAAATGTATATAATTATAATAAAATGTATGTAATTATGTTAAGTAATACATATAAATGTATTTATATGTAATTATGAATTATAATAATTATTATATAATAATTATCATGATGTGTGCTTTTATTGTTGTCAGTTTTTTTTCTCTATTATTATTATTGTGTCAAAAAGCTGACATAAAGCAGTATGTATCTATATGTGACCCTGGAGCACAAACCCAGTCTTAAGTCGCTGGGGTATATTTGTAGCAATAGCCAAAAATACACTGCATGGCTCAAAATTATCGATTTTTCTTTTATGCCAAAAATATATTAAGTCAAGATCATGTTCCATGAAGATATTTTGTACATTTCCTATTGTAAATATATCAAAACTTCATTTTTGATTAGTAATATGCATTGCTAAGAACTTCATTTGAACAACTTTAAAGATGATTTTCTCAATATTTAGACTTTTTTGCACCCTCAGATTCCAGATTTTCAAATAGTTGTATCTCGGCCAAATATTATCCTATCCTAACAAACCATACATCAATGGAAAGCTTATTTATTCATCTTTGAGATGATGTAGAAATCTCAATTTCACAAAATTGACCCTTATGACTGGTTTTGTGGTCCAGGGTCACGTATGTAATTGAACCGTAGTAACCAGCAGTCGTTATGAAGTGTAGACAGTAGTTTTGAGCAGTAGTTGTGTGTGTTGTTGCAGATGAGGGAGGTGCAGGGGAGGAGGAGTATGTGGTGGAGCTGCAGGAGACGGTGCTGGTGTCAGAGGTGGAGGGAGAGGCCGTGTCTGTCCAGGGCTTCTCCTCCGACGAGCTCGTCATCCAGGACGCAGTGGAGGATGTGGTCGCCGAGTACGTGCACTGCGACGACGATGAGGGCGTTGCCATGGAGACCTGCGTGATGTCACTGGAGGGTGAGGAGGAAGAGGAGGACGGTGTTGCCATGGCAGAGATGACGGAGGGGAGGGACCCTGAGCACGACTCGGACGGCTGCGGAGATTACCTCATGATCTCCTGTAATTCACCCAATCATTCAGTCACTCGTTCTTTCTGTCGCTTGATTCGCTCATGCGTTCGTGTGGTTCAATTTATTGTTTCAAATGCAGTTTTCAACTTAATTCAACCTAATTCAACTTAAACTCATTCCAGTTAGTTGCCAGGCAACATTTTCTTTTTGTTTGTTTGTTTGTTTATCAACACCTTAAATTTGTAATTTGTCATATATAACAATTCATTCTTATTACTTTTTACAATATTATGCAATATAATATTTTATAATATTATAATTTTTTTAGTACCTAGTTAGAT